CTGGATAGTTTTTACTGCTATGACTTTAAGTTCACTACATTTTTTAAAAAGGTATTTTTTTCAATATCTACTCTTATTTCTGTCCAGTGTATTTTTTATTGTACATTGCAGTTTTCATCTCTGGAAGTTTGATTTAGGTCATTTCTGTGTTTTCCATGTCTCTATTTAATTTTTGAATCTGTGGATGCAGTTATAATAACTTTTAAATGTCATTGTCTCCAAATTCTGTAGTGACTGTTTCATTGGTTTGCTAGGATTTGTTTTTAATTTAATTTCTTAGATTATGAGTTACTAGTTCAAGTAATTAGCATTAATTTTAAACTATGTACTCAGTAATACAGACTATGATTATAATTTCTTTGGGGACATCCCCACTATCACTCCAAAACCTAGGAAAGGACTATAACCTTCTTTGTTATCTCTCTTTACTAGTGGGAAGATTTTTTTTCTAATTTATCCTTTCATGGGTCCAGGCATTTGGGTGGGTGTATGTGTGTGTGAGAAGCCCCAGTTCCTACTCCTTGTTTCTTCTGGCCTCCTGAATATTATAATACAGCCTCTGCAGATATTAAGATCTTCAAATCTCAACTATTTCCAGTCATGTCGGCCAAATCAGTTAGGGCAGCTAACCTATGGTTTAGTTTCTTATTCAGTTTTGGTACCTGGGTATATTTTCCTGTGAGCTAAGTATAAAATGTTATAAATTATTTCTTATCCTAAATTTCTAGATACTAGTTTATATCATTCACTATATTGCCTTAAATGGAACCCTGCCTAGTGATATTTTTTGTCTCAAAATGACTGCTATATTAATATAGTTAATGCCATTATTCTTTTAGCTTAACACTTGTCTGGTATATCCATTCTTTAACTTTCAATCATTTTGCATTTTTAAGTTTTAGTAGTACCTTATAAATATATAACATTTTTTCCCTAGGTGAACCTTAGGATCATTTCACAAGTTCCAAAATCAATCCCATTGTGATTTTATTTGGGTAGGGCAATTCCTCCCATTTTATTCTCCCCCCCCAAGTTATTTGAAATTGGTTTTTGATTATAGATTAAAGATAAATTATATATTAAATCAAGATGAATGCCCTTTCTTTGAAAAATTACCTGTGCCTTTCCATATACAAGTTTTTATTGTTGGTGGTGGTGGTAGTGGTTTAGTTCCTGAGTATTTATGTTTTTCATCTATGTCTTAAACATTTATTATTAAATTTAGTCTTAATTTTTTTGGTTGCTTTGTTGCTTTTGTGAATAAGACCTCTCCCTGCTCTATTTCTCCACATAATAGATTAAATGATTTGTTAATTTAATTCACAATATCAATAAGTAAAGGAAATTTTTATAGTACTCAAACAATATTGAATTCTTGGAATGAACCCCAAACAGACTTTTGTTGTTTTCCCATGATTTTCAAGAGGAGAAGTAGGCAGAACAACCTTTACTATGTCTTCTTAAAACTGGAAACACCAAAAACAGATATTTTAACAGGGGGAAGATCTGTCAGTTTCTCCTGGTGGGCAGGGGGGCAGGGTTTTAGGGAGGCTCTGGGACTGCAGGACAGCGGGCACTTAGAGCTGAGCAGGAGGGCACTTGGCTGCAGGCCCAGCATAGAGATGGACTTACAGAGCAGTGAAATACGAGAACCAGCCTAAATTTTTAAGTATGTTTTGATTTTAAGTGCATATTATTTTTCCATCATTCCTCATTCCTACAAGTATTCTATAAGGCTATGGTCTTGGGCATTGATTTGAAGAAACCAAATCAGTGTGGTTAAGCATGATGAAAGCTTATTTCTAGCTCATATATCATCTGAAGGTAAGCAGTCCAGGGTTGGTACAGCAGCTCTATGGTATCTCCTAGTAGCTCTGTCATCCCCAGGGGCCACATCCTCATTCACATGGTCTACTGCCTTGTCAGATGCTTATGCCCTTGTCAGCATTCCACCTAACTGATGGGGATATTGGGCCAGGAAGGCATGTTCTTTTTCTTTAAGAGCATGGCATCACTTTTTCTTGTAGCCTGTTTGCCAGAAGTTAGTCACATAGTCACACTTTAAAGAGGGCCAGATGTGTTAGCAGATGTGAAAACAACATCAGGGGCGCCTGCGTGGCTCAGTTGGTTAAGCATCTGCCTTCGGCTCAGGTCATGATCCCAGGCTCCTGGGATGGAGCCCTGAGTCTGACTCCCTGCTCAGTGGAAGCCTGCTTCTCCCTCTCCCTCTTCTCTCTCTCAAATAAATAAAACCTAAAAAGAAAATTTAAAGAGGGCCAGAAAGTGTGTTATTTTTTCTGGACTGTCTTTGGCTTGCTAGAGATTGTTAATATATAAGGGAAGAACAGAGATGAACAGACAAGTGGTCTCTGCTTCTGCAGGCCTTTTGTAACTTGGCGTGTGCCTGTCTTAGTACTCTCAGGAGTAGGAGCTTCATGTTATTTAGGAGGCCTTATTCTCTTATCTGTAAAATCAGTGACAGGTTTATGATCCAACATTTGGGCCCAGCATTTCTGTGATACTGTGATCTCCTAATTCCTTCCTATTTCTTTAGACAAGCCCTCAGTCCTAGCTGAAGCTCTACTAAAGGAAAAAAAAAACTTATTGCCAAGAGCAGTGTAATCCCCAGCTATTACTCTGCCAAATCCTGGGACCATTTTCCTATCTGAACAAGAGAAGTTGTGTAAAGTGCTCGTTTTAGGAAATACTGGTGATCAGGGACAAGGCAAAACAGAAGCCTCTTGACAGTAATCAGTGTTACAATTCCAGGCATAAGATATATCCTACTTCCAGGGGCACAGAAATAAAGAAGGGTTCTTCTCTGGAGTTGGGGTTGGAGCCTTTGGATTATGTCAATAGGAGATATTTGTTATATGCCTCCTTTGTGCCAGGGCTTGTGCTTTAGCTGAGGATAATGATGTTGAACAAGATAGATATAGTCCCTGCTTCCTGGAGTGAGCAAAGACAGACACTTAAATAAACTGAGAAATACAGAGTGCTGTGATGGCATGTAACTGGGGGCCTGCCTTATTTTGGGTGGTCAGAAAGCTTGCTTTCCAAGGGAAATGGGATTTGAACCTTGACTTCAAGTAACAGTCAAGATGGAGGGTTGGAATGGGAAGGGAAGGGCATTCTAGGTTTAGAGAACAGTATGTTCAGCACATGGGGCTGAAGTGGAGAGAGGAGGAGGAAGAGTACTAAGAGGCTGGAGAGAGAAGTAGGGCCAGCTGCCAACCACATCCCAGTGCTGTAGCATCCTAGGGATCAGAGCTAGAAGAAATGCCTGCACTATCAAATTTGGGAGGGTACCTAAGGATGGTCTAATCGGTGGCTTTTCGTGCTGTTCCCCTTTCCCCTGGGCTCATTTTGAAATTTTATGGGAGTATTTTTGTTGCAATGTTTGGTGGCATTAGATGGGAGCCAGGAGTGCCACGAATCCTGAAAATCATAGAAGGCTCCCACCTGTTTGGAAAAGTTTTTGCAGACTTTCAGGTCTTTCTGAACATTCATGTAGGTAAAAACCATTTATAAGTGACCTGAATCCAGAACCTATTTCAGCTAAATGAATTCTTACACAGTTTTAACGTATGTTGATTCTCTAGGAATAAAACTACTGTAAAATCAAAAGATTGTACTGTTTCACTTAAACCTTACCAAGAAATGTTCACCATTTTGGATCACAGCTTGTGATTTTTGAAACCTCAATAAAAGACAGCACTGTGGCTGTGGCGTACAGGCACGTTCCATGTGAAAAGGCAAATATTTGACCTTTAGGTCTATAGCAGTCATGACCATTTACATATTGAAATGTGTATTTTTACAAATCATTTTCCTTTTATAGCTCCTCTATTAAAGCATATTAAGGTTTTTTTGTAATTTCAAGTTTTTATTTCAATTCTAGTTAGTTAACACATAGTGTAATATTAGTCTCAGGAGTAGAATTTAGTGATTCATCACTTATATACAACACCCAGTGCTCGTCACAAGTGCCCTCCTTTATACCCATCACCCCATCCCCTTCCAGTAACCCTCAGTTTGTTCTCTATCCTTAAGAGTTTGTTTTATGGTTTGCCTCTCTATCTGCAGTGTTCATCTATTTTATTTCTTAAATTCCAGTAATGAGTGAGACCATATGGTATTTCACTTAGCATAATACCCTCTAGCTCCATCCAGTTTCAAATGGCCAAGATTTCATTCTTTCAATGGCTGAGTAATACCACGATCATCTACCTATCTCACAACTTCCTTATCCATTCATCAGTTTTTAAAATGTGGGTTGTTTCTATTACCTATGAACTTCTAAGTCACGATCTATGAATTTCAGGACAGGAGAATAAAGCGGTCACTAGGAAATAATTGGGCGCCTGGGTGGCTCAGTTGGTTAAGCGACTGCCTTCGGCTCAGGTCATGATCCTGGAGTCCCGGGATCGAGTCCCGCATCGGGCTCCCTGCTCAGCAGGGGGTCTGCTTCTCCCTCTGACCCTCTTCCCTGTCGTGCTCTCTGTCTCTCATTCTCTCTCTCTCTCTCTCTCTCTCTCAAATAAATAAATAAAAAAATCTTAAAAAAAAAAAAAAAAGAAATAGTTGTTACAAAAAGGCGGCCTTAGGTGTGACAGCCTGTGATAGATCCACAGGCCAGGGCCCGAAACTCCCAGGGCCCGAAACTCCCAAATCCGGTTGCACCTGCAGCTTTGGATATCCCCAGCGCCATCCCCGGGAGTGAATCCAGCGCTCCCCTCTGGTGCTTCCCCAGCCCACCTCGAGGAATAATGGCCCTGCGGCCGGGACCCACAGGTGAAGGGCGCGGGGCACAGGAGTCCGGGTTACTGAGACTCGGGCTGCGGGGGCGGGGCCAGAACACCAACAAGAGGGAGCAACGCTGCTCCTAGAGAGACTCGGCCGCGGCCTGGTGACGCACTTCCGACTGCGCGGTGGTGCAGCCGGTGGCGGAGGTGAGTGTGGAGCTGGGGGCGGCGGGGGCGGTGCCCTGGCGGGTAACTGTGGGTGCGGCGGGGATGCGCCTCCGGTTCCTGGAGGAGGGGGATAGGGCGGTGGTCCGCGGTCAGACTGCGCCCGTCCTAGATTCTCGTTTTGGACTTGGTGACCGAATTGGAAGGCGAAGCGTGGATTCCTGTCACAGCCACGAAGCCCCGCACTCTCTTCGGGGAAGATGCCACTGACTTTTCGGGAAGATGTGTCGGAGCAGCCAGGGGGTGGAATATTTGCAGGGGTGAAGTGGATTGTGATATCGCGAGTCTTTTGACATGTTGAAGTCCCTGTAGGGGCTCTTATCTATATGCATTTCAAGTATGGACCGTGTGCCCTCTGACTTCTAACACAGGGTCGTGAATCAGGGCTCTGAGAGCACAGAAAAAGCAGAGCCCCTCCGAGTCACCCGGGAGTACAAGTAGCCCGGCTTTTGGAGAGCACTGTCTTCTGGAGCTGGCAGTTCCAAAAGGTAACTTCGCCCTCGTCTCGGGCTGTTGGGATGACAATGACTTGGGGATGATTTCTACATTGTAATCACTTATTTGCTCAATTCTAGAATACACATAAAATAGTTCCAGAATTGCTCATTCATACCGTCATGAAAATTATACAAAAATTATACTATACTAAAATAATAAAATAGTTAAAACATGAAATATTAAAAAAAAAAAACCTCTCGGGAATGTGGCTGATCGTGTATTCCGAGGAAAATTTATAGCCTTACAGGTTTTAATTGCCAACTAGGAAAAGAATGAAATAATAAATCCTGCATCCTCAAGAAGCATTTGGGCAGAGGTCGTTTTAACCTTATAGTACCTAGTTAAAATACTGCTTTCCAAAGTTATTTAGTTCTTTTCTTTCCCACCACTTCAGTGTGGTTATGTTATTCAATTGTGGTATAGGTAAGCTCATTTGATGTTTTTTGTATTCCTTTTTGGGTTGTCACCCCCATCCCATCCTGGTTGGTTGATTTAATATATGTGTATTTATTTATTTGGATATGTGAAACATGGTTATGAAAGTCAGAACAAAGAAGGCAAACTCAGAAGCGTCACTACCCTCCTCATCTCTTCTACCCTATTTCCTTTCATTCTCTTTTCCGTCCCAGGCTCCTTTCATTTCCTACCCATATTTGAGGCAACCATTCATTCCCCTTAGTTTCTGATTTATCCTTCTATTTCTTTCTTGTACAAATGACCAGATACACACATATTTTCTTATACTCCTATTCTTTTGTACACAAGAAGTAGCACATTGCCTTTTGCACTTCGCTTGTTTCATTTGACAGTATAATCTGGAAATCACTCCAAATCATAGAGATAAGTATGTTTTTTTAAATGTTATTCTTGCATACTGAAGACTGCATCTAGCATGGCATTTAAGAAGCGTAGTAGTAAGATGAGTACCCATGAACGCACCATCCCACTAAGGAGGAGAACATTTCCAGTACTGCTTCTCAACCCAGCTCCCAGCTTCCCACCCCTCTAGAGGTAACTACTATCTTGAATTTTGCATTAATCATAGTCTTACCTATTTATAAAAATAATTTTATCTCATAAAATATGTCTGTAAACAATATGTTTAATTTCATTTTTGAGCTTTATGCAAATGGCATTGTAGTATCTGTAGTCATCTGGGACTTGTATGACTCAATATTATGTTCCTGAAGTCATCTGTGTAGTTGTGTGTAATTGTGAGCCATTAATTTTTGCTGCTGGATAATATTCCTTTTTAAAAATGATAGGACAATTTATTTATGTATTCTTAATGGATATGTGGGTTGTTTCCAGTTTTTTGTATTCAGATACTGGTAATGAATAATTTTGTACATATTTTCTACATATGAGGGTTTCTGTAAGGCATAAATTTTAAAATGTAAGCATGAGTATTGAATTTTATCTCAAATGCCTTTGGCATCTGTTGGGATGGAGAGTGTGTTTATCTTTCTTTGATCTATTCATGTGGAAAAGTATACTAATCTGCATTATAATATTAAGCTTTACTTGCTTTCGTGGGATGATCCCTTTTAGTTATGGTATGTCACTTTAATGAACTGTTGGAGTCAATTCCTTTATATTGGGGATTTTTCTGTCAGTATTCATAAAGGAGGCTGGTCTGTGGTTTTTGTATCAGTGTTGTGCTGGCATCATAAAAAGGACCAGGAAACTTATTTTGCTCTTCTCTCCTACAGTTTCAGTATTGTTAGAATTACTCATTTCTTAAAGACTTGAAAAGATTTGTCCATGATACATACAGGCACAGTGTTTTGTGAGAGTTTGCTCTTTACTGGCTATCTCAGTTTAATTAGGTAAAAGTAATCATGGATTCCAGAGAAATACCTACATAATAAAATTAGTAGAGTTGATTTACTAGATTCAAATAGAATATGTTCTTCAATCATAGAATAAGTTTTCTGTGTAAGTACTTGCACTTCAGCCAACAAAAGAAGCCCTCTCAAAATCTGTAAAGCAGAAGTAAATAGACCAGGTTATTTAAACACCATGCAATAAAGCCAGAAATTATGAACAGAGAAGAAATTAGCAACAAACTATCCTAAAGAATTCTGTGGTCAGAGACAAAACACTTGCTGACAGGCTATAAAATGTAATTAATATAATTAAAAAATGAAATATTAAAAAAAAAAAAACCTCTGGCATGTGGCAAATAGTGTATTCAGAGGGAAAATTTATGGCTTTATAGGTTTTAATTGCTAAATAGGAAAGAATGAAAATAAATGAATAAATCATGCAACCTCAAGAAGGTAGAAAAGAGGGGTGCCTGGGTGGCTCAGTCAGTTAAGTGTCTGCCTTCAGCTTGGGTCATGGTCCTGGAGTCCTGGGATCGACCTGCTTCTCCTTCTGCCTGCTGCTCTCCCTGCTTGTGCTCTTTCTCTCTTTCTCACTCTTGCTCTCTCTCAAATAAAAAAATGAAATCTTTAAAAAAAAAATGAAGGTAGAAAAAATCCTTTGGTAGTCTAGCTTCCCCCAAAAGCAGAACATAGGACAGAGGTTTGTAAACTGCAGGCAGTTTACTTGGGAATGTATTCCAAGGGCAGAGTGAAAGACAAGGGGAGTGAGAGCCAATACAAGGATGCATTGTCAGGCTGGCCTGTCCATAGGCAACTGGTGCTCAGTCTTGCAGGATCTTTGAGGAGCCTTGGAATTTCATGTAGGAGACTGAAGGGGAAAACATTTGTCCTTTGACCTCTGTCACCTGTTAGTCATGGGTGTTCTCACAGGCGTTGACTCATCTCTGCCTTTCAGGACCTAGCAGGTGTCCATAGGTATCTGCAGATGTCCCCCACAGGATACCAGAGAAGCCTCAGGGCAGGAATCAGCCATATGTGGTATAGATCCTTGAGGATGCATTGGTAGGTTATACCTGCGCAAAGCTGTTCAAAGTCTCTGGCACTGGACTGAGACCAGAGGATTTGGAAGGGAACAGAAGGTGTACCTCTCACAAAGGTAGAGCTCTTCCAGAGCTAAAGAAACAAAGAAAGCAGGGGCACCTGGGTGGCTCAGTTGGTTAAGCAACTGCCTTCGGCTCAGGTCATGATCCTGGAGTCCTGGGATCGAGTCCCACATCGGGCTCCCTGCTCAGCAGGGAGTCTGCTTCTCCCTCTGACCCTCCCCCCTCTCATGCTGTCTCTCATTCTCTCTCTTACAAATAAATAAAATCTTAAAAAAAAATTTTTTTTAATAAAAAAGAAACAAAGAAAGCAGAACTTAATGAACTAAATGAAAATAGAAAAGAGTGGTGTTCTAAATAAATAGAAAAATTTGTTCTTTAAAAATAAACATGAAAAAAAATAAAATAAAAATAAACATGAACAAACCATTGTTCAACTTAACTTTATTAGTCTGCTCAGGCCACCATAACAGAATACCATAGACTGCATGGCTCAAACAACAGAAATTTATTTCTCACAGTTCTGGAGGTGGAAAGCCCAAATTTAAGGTGCCAGAAAATTTGGTTCTTGGCGAGGGCTCTCCTTGGGTTGCAGATGGCTGTCTTCTCACTATGTCTGCATGTGGTGGAAAAAGAACTCTGGTGTCTCTTCCTCCTTTTTATAAGGGCACCAGCCTTATCAGAGTAGGGCCCCACATTTATGGCTTTGTTTAACCTTTTACCTCCTCACAGGTCCTATATCCAAATATAGTCACATTGGGGGGTAATACTTCAACCTATGAATCTTGGGGGGACATGTTCCATCCGTAACATTAACAAAGGGGAAAGGGTGTAGAAAGCACATATATTCAAAAGTGGGAAAGGCAAAGTGGCTCCAGATATGGAGGAAATGGAAAGAATCATGAACCTGTGTTTTCCACAACTCTACACTCAAGTTGAAATCCTAGAAGACAAGGATGATATTTTGGGAAAACACATATTTTCAAGACTGACTTTGGGAAAAGTAAAAACCCGAAAATAAGCAGTCCAAATGTTTTGAAGACAGTGAACAAGGTGTGCTGGGTCGTGGGACCCTAGATGATATAGCGATCCCCTCTCGCTGGGAGCTGAGGCTCTGGCTTCTTCACTATCAGAGGGCTGGAGAACATGAGGAGGCAGCCTGGGACCTCAAAGGTAAGCCTGGGCCATGCGGGAGGCTGGCTGCCCAAGATCTCTACAGAGATAGTGGGGTTCTTGAGGACACTCAGCTTTGTGAGGGAGAAGGCAGGATGTAGGGGAAAAGCTGTTTTCTCCAGCTCCCAGGGGCCTGACTCAGGTCTCTGTGCTGGGGCCACAGCGCTGCCAGCCTGGCTTCTGCAGTGTATCAAGGGTGATGCTTGTTTAGAGAAAAACAAGCAAGTCCAAGATCTTGGTAACATTCTCTTTCTTAAGCTGAATTGTTGCTATGTGGGTCTTTGTTTTATTATGCTTTGGGCCCTGAGTACATTTTATGTCTGCTCTTATGTGTGTGACATGTGTCAGAATTGTGAAATCCTAGTGTTCCTGGCAATGAGCATCAGTGCCATGGCCAGGAGGGGTCCTGGGCACTGAGCCAGTGAACGGATCGCCCCCTTCTTCCTGTGGCAGCTCCCGTGGCACTCCTATCTGGACACTGGCTACCTGCGCCTCACGTCTGTGAGGGGCTGTGTTGTTCCTCCTGGCACGGGGCTCACCTCACACTTGTCTCTCTCTGTTTTTCCTCAGCTCCAGCCCTTCTCTGAGAGGGGGAGCAGGTGATGGCCGCCATGCTCCTGACAGCCTGGCCCCAGGTGAGCTGTGGCTCCTTCAGCTCTTCCTCTGAACAGTTTCACATTGAAGAAAACTGAGAAGGGAAGCTGGTGAGCTTTGTGGTGGAAGCTGGAGGGGCCTTCCTCACTTCCGCCTGGATCTTGTGGGAAGAGCGGTGATGTGAAGGGATGGAAGCAGCCAGAGAGTGTCCGTGAAGGCAGGAGTGGAGTGGCCTGCACACCGAGGTTCTTTGCTCCTCGGGTGAATAGGGGGCATAGAAGTTGCCCGTGGAGGGAGCTCTGTGCATGGACGTGATTGGAGGGGCATTAGGGTGCCCAGGGCCCGGGCTGTAGGTGAAGAGGAGGAGGAGGACCAGATCATCACAAAGGGTGGCTGCACCTCTCGTTGGCTCGGGTGGGCGGTCGGCAGAAGGAAGAAGGAAGTCCTATGGGGCGGGGTGTCTCACTGTGTCCTTAAGAGGCTTTCAGGGCTTGGGTGCAGGGGCTCCAACTTTAGGTCTCTGATAAGAGCTCTGGACCTTCCCCCGCTCAGGAAAACAAGCATGCAAACCAAATTCTCCATACAATTTCAGGGACTTCACGGACCCCTGAAGTGCATCCATGGACCTCCATGGACTACAGGTTGGGAATAATCATAGTCACAGTAACTCCAGTAACATTGTTTGAGGCTTGCTGCACTGCAGGCACCATACTGAGCCCTTGCATGGATCGCTCGGTCCTGACACCTGCCCTCTGAGATAGGTGCTGTGTTGTGCTCATTCTGTCACAAGAGACATGAAGGCAAAGGGGAGTAGAGTGCCTTGCCCAAGGTATACAGCCCGTGTTTGATTCTTAACTGCTCATCCCTGTGACATGTGTGCAACCCGTGAAGTTAACGTGGTCAGAGTTGTGATGGCTTTCAAGGGAATAATTTTTAGGGGTGATTCAAAAAGAAGCTGACCACTTCAGAAAGAATTCCATTGGTCCAGGTGTGATGTGCGCTTCATCACGGAAAGTAGTTGTTAAAGAATCCAGTTCAAGTAATGCTTAACATAAAAATCTTTAGGATGTTGAGAGTCAAAGGGTTGGGGGTAGGGTAAGGGAGAGGGAGGAGTCAGGAACAATCCCCAGGTTTCTGGCTGAGATTTCCTGCACAGATGGTGGGGGATGTTTGAATTCAGGAGGTGGCGCCAACTTACTAGGGTAAAGGGTGGTGGCGGCGGCAGTGAAGGCATTTAATACTGTTCAGAGAAGTTCCTTGACGCCTCCAAGGGCACAGATGAGTGACTTGCAGACTCACCCAGAGGTTGGACTAGAATTGTTGATGGGTGGAGGTCAGTGGAAGGAAGCAAGACAGATCCTGGCAGAGAGGAATTGAAGGCATACCCCTGCCAGTGCGTCCCCAAGGTTGTTACAAAAGACTGAGGGGGGCAGAGAGAGAGAGAGCAACCAGAGGCTGCAGCTGCCCAAAAGGGAGCCATCAGCCCTGATGCAGAGCCTGTGCTGAGCGCATGGTGTAGTGATGTGAAGAGGGGCATCTGGAAGAGTGGCTGAGTGGCTGGCCAGTGGGAAGGCTGATCTCCCCTTTTCCCTGAACCTCTAGTATAAACAGTGAGTTCTTGGGTAAAGTTGGAAAGGACGAGAGGCGTGAATGGGAGAGGGTAACAGAAAAATGTTGGATTTTCAGTAAGACGCCTCTGGAAGCAGAATGGGCTGCTGCCCCCACCATAGCCAGTCAGGGCAGTGCTGAGCTGCTGGAGGTGCTCAAGCAGCCCCACAGCCCTTCGTAGCAGGGGCAGTGACGGGAGTCAGGCGACAGACGGGGGCTGGACCAGATGGAGGCCATAGCTGTTCTCCAGGGGTGGCTGGAGGTTTACAGGTCAGGGGGGCAGGATGGAGAAGCCAAGATCTCAAGTGAAAATGCTGGTGGGTTGGTCCTGAGCTGCATCTGCCACTGAGGACGGGGCCTAACTGAAAGAATGGAATTGCTTTGGGGGAACTTGATATGGGAATTTTTTTTCTGTCATCCCAACTTAGGATATCTTTTATAAAAGTAAAATATGGCATGAGATTCCCTGCCAGGAGAGAAGTCAGATATTCTTCATTGTTTACTTTCCAGGTGCTATTTCTCAAACCTTTCCCCTTGTTATTAATTCTGTGCTCTTCACAAGCTCCCTCCCCAAACCCTTATACTGCCCTCTGCCCCTCACTTAGGGCCTGAGCCATGGAATTGGCCCTAGGGCAGCAGGAACCTGTTGTTTCAGAAGTCGGTGACCTTCGAGGATGTGGCTGTGTACTTCACCCAGACGGAATGGGATGGCCTGTCCCCTGCACAGAGGGCCCTGTACAGGGATGTGATGCTGGAGAATTATGGGAATGTGGCCTCCTTGGGTAAGGCCTCTCTCCCCCTGGGACCCAGACTCTGCCAGTTGGGGTTTCCTGGCTTATTGCCCCCTAACAGGTTGCAGGTGGGGTCTCTGGTAATCCTTTACTGAGTGGGAACCCCAGGGGCTGAGATTGCTAATCCCCCTTGAGTCAGGGGTTGCTGGGAAGGGTGAACCTCAAGCCCTTTTTGGGCCAGTACAGGACTTGGCTGGGACTGGTGTGCGCTCTTTATCCTCCCTGTAGAAGTTGTGGTTTAGACACTGTGGAAAAAAGAAACCTGTTGTTTCACACAGCATTATTTTCAGGTTCACCCTCACCCGACCTGCATATCTTGAGGTCTTCTGGGCCCAGGTCTGGGCCATTCCCAACTCCTCCCACACCTTCTCAGGACCCCTCCCCTCACCACACACATATACCTTCCAAGCTCCCCATCTTTCCAATTGCCCCCATCCCCGACTTCCCCATAGTCATTAGGCGTGGGATCCCCTAGCGCTCTTATTTTGCCTTCCCATTGCCAAGACAATCTGAGGAGATGCTTAAGAACTCATCTGTGGGAGATTATTCACCTGTCTCTCCTATTTCTTTTCCCCTAAACAGGATTTTCTCTTTTCAAACCTGCTGTGATCTCACAACTAGAGGGAGCAGGTGAGCTGGGGGGCCCATCTCCACTGGTGGATGGAACAGAAACAGGCCCCCAGGGCCTCTGGACTGGTAAGGGACACACAGGTTGCCTATTACGGGGGAAAGTTTAGCTCTTTAAGAAGAAGGTCAACTTAAGCAACATATAAGCATGCCACATTTATGACCCAGCCGTACAGAGTAAAATTTAAATAAATGCTGATGATTTATAGAGATAGGTACAGTTGAGACCTGACTATTTTTGCAGTTTGCTGTTTCTTTCTGATTCCAAGAACAGATCTTTTTTCATTCTAATTCTTTCCAGGCCTAATTTTGGAATTCTGCCTTTCTCATGAAATTAATGGATGGTGTGTTTGGGTCCTTGCTGCTTCCCAAGCATTGTGCACTTAATGTGATGGATGGAGAATTAACAGTCTTTTTATACAGAAAGGTAGAATAGCCTGGCAGTTAAAAGTACAGTCTTTGGAGTGGACTTGACTGAGGTCCGATCCCAACTGCTATTATATGACTTCCTAGTTGTGACTTTAAGCAGGTCAGTTATTTGAGTTCTCTAAGATTCAGTGTTTTTATCCCTGAAAATGGAATAAAATACCTAACATATAGTGTGTGCTCAATGAAGTATTAGTTTTTATTTATTTATTTATTGGAGGAGACTGCTATATATAGTAAAATGTGGGAAATAAGGTGGAAGGGAGAAAGTGCTCTCAATTCAGTGCTTCTCAGATGATGTGCAAATGAATCACCTGGGTGTCTTGCAAATATGCATGTTGTCATTTAGTAAGTGTGGTTTAGGGCCAAGATTCTGCATTTCTATTTTCAGGTTCTGCCAGTGTTTCTGGTTCCTAGACCATACTTGAAGTAGCAAGTTTCTCGTTGGCTTAGGCAGAGTAGTTGCCAGATGATTTCCCATTTCTTGTGATTTCTCACTTACTTACTGCATTTGTGGTGCATGGATTCTCTTGTATCCTTTCAATGAATCCTCCTTTTTAAAAAGATAGTTTCAGGGCACCTGGGTGGCTCAGTTGGTTAAGTGGCTGCCTTCAGCTCAGGTCATGATCTCAGCGGGGAGCCTGCTTCTCCCTCTCCTCTGCCTGCCGCTCCCCCTGCTTGTGCTCTCTCGCTCTCTCTCCCTGTCAAATAAATAAATAAGATCTTTAAAAAAAAATTTTTTTTTTAAATAAAAAGATAGATTCAGTGGATTTTTGTTCCTTGTGGTCATTCAACCAGATGAAGGGAAAAGAAATGATGTTGTGGAGCTCCTCAAAGGAGTCTGGATTTCATTCCGTAGTCAGCAGACAGTACTGAAATCTTTGAAGTTTTCGAATAACCATCATGATCTAAACTGAGAATGGAAACATTAGTGTGTGTAGGTTAATTGGAGCAGGAAATCAAATGGCTTTTAGACAGACAGAAGGGGAAGGTGGGTACAGGGCACAAGCCCATGTCAGCAGAGTTGACTCTTAAAAAAACTTTCAGAAGGCCCATCCGGTGACTTCTGGTTAAATCTCATTTGCTGGAACTGTCTTACGCCCCCCCCTACTGCAAGAGAGTGTGGAAAATACAGTTTTTAGCTGTAGTTTCTACTGCTACCTCAAAAACATTGGAGAACGTGTTAGGAAAAAAGGGAGAATGGATATTGGTTAAGTAACCAGTAGCATCTGCCACACCATAAAATTTGGTAAATAGAAGGTCACTAGTATAGAAAAATAGGCAAAGAATGTAAGTGTTTGATCCACATGAGAAGTACAAATTTTAATCAATGTGAAAAATCTTCACCCTCAGTAGGAACCAGTGAGATACAAATTAAAACAGAGATGCTCCACCTAACACATTTGACATAGGTAGGCTGGGTCCAAGGACCCAGGAGGGGTCCTACAGGACAAGCCAAGAGGGTCCTTGGCTTTGAGTAGGATAGAAACCAAATGAGAGCCAGGAGGAAGTGAGAGCAGAGTTTATTGAATAGCATGAGTGATAGAATATAGCAAGCAGATGGAATGTTTGGGAGATTCAGAAAGGAGAAGAGAGTGAGTCTCTCCTTTGCTTGGAGTCTAGGGTTTTTATTGAGGATTGGGATCTTGGGATCTGGTGTACATGTCCTCTTCAGACACCCAGGAACTGGTTAGAAGAAAGACAAGAGTCCAGGTGTCCTCCATAAAGCACTTATTGCCGGGAGCCAGGGGGTTTTGGCATCAAGAGGTCTAGAGTTAGTGGTCTAGAAAATGTATATGACGGCCCTGCTTGGTCATTCCTTAGGTGTTATCACCCATGCTGGAAGACCCCAAAAAGTCATTAACTCCTTGACCCTTATAAGAAGGACATACATCATTTGTACTATAAGGCGTGTACAAGATGGGAGGGGGTACAGGTCCTGGCAAGAACAGAAGCAGGAAAATAAGCAAAAAGCAGTTTTTCATGGAGTTCCTTCAGTTTCCCTGGCTCATACAGAGAATAATTGTATTGATGGAGAGAATACACCAAACTGGAATAGACTTTTGGGGAATGAATGTGAATCAGTAGTCTTTCTAGAAAGTACTTTAGCAATACATAGCAAGAGCCTTTTAAAAGTTTGTCCTTGATAGCCTGGATATTCTCTCCTAGAGTAGCCTAATCAGCTAATCAGAGATACAGACAAAGATGTGCAGGCACAAAAGTTCATCATAATTTTATATAATAAAATGTTGGAAATAACCCAGACATTCAGTGTGGAGAGAATTGGTTAAATTAAGGTACCTCTGCAGGATGGAATGCTATTTAGCAATTTAAAAAATATTTTTACAGACTATCTAAAGATAATGGAAAATTGTCATTATTAGTGTTAAGGAAGAAAAATATTTTCAGTTTTGGATAAAAACATTTTTAGAAAAATGATTGGAAGGAAAATCTTTGGGGGAGGAGGTACATCAGAAGATTAGATGTAGTTGTTAGGTGGTTGTATTTCACGTAAATTGAATTTTCTTCTTTGTACTTTTCTGATATTAGGGATGACTACTATTTTTAAAATTGGGAAAAGACCAACAGTTTTGAAAATGCTTGCTAGGGAAATCCAGGTCACTTGGGTCTCTTGAGGGTGATTAGAATGAAATACTGGGGCAGGGGGCTTATTACCTGTGGTCGAGGAGAGATGAGAGATGAAAAATAGAGGCAGCATTTTGGGGTCAGTTTTGAGAAATTTGGGAACAAAAGATCCTTAGCTCTATTGGGACTGTAGGGATTCCAAAAAGAATGTTAGGGACAACGGCTCCTGGGTGGCTCAGTCGCCTGGCTCAGGTCATGATCTTGGGGTCCTGGGGTTGAGCCCCACGCCAGGCTCCCTGCTCAGCAGGAAGCCTGCTCCTCCCTCTCCCTCTGCCTCTCCCCCTGCTTGTGTGCTTTCTCTCTCTGTCAAATGAATGGATAAAATCTAAAAAATAAATAAATAAAATAACATTAGGGACTGACCAATTTCAGGATTGGGGGAAGAGGAAGATGGCTTCTCTAAGCAGAGAAGAAGGTGAAGGAGGAATTTTGGAAAGCCATGAGTTTAAGTTCAAAGAAAAGAAAAAAGTTCTTTCCCTTTTACCTCCTGGTGCCATAAACTCTTTTTTTTTTTACAGATTTTATTTATTTGACAGAGAGAGACACAGCAAGAGAGGGAACACAAGCAGGGGGAGTGGGAGTGGGAGAAGCAGGCTTCCCGTGGAGCAGGGAGCCCAATGCGGGGCTTGACCCCAGGGCCCTGGGATCATGACCTGAGCCAAAGGCAGATGCTTAATGACTGAGCCACCCAGGCGCCCCTTAACTATGATTCTTTATTCCTTTTACCACAGTTCTTTTCTTTTCTCTAACATGGATCTTACATGATATTTTCTGTTTTCTGTTTTTTTAATAGTAGATATTGATGTCCAGACTGACAATAATTTGATAAAGGAAATGTATGAAGAAAAACATAATACATCATTTGAACTTCAGAGGGACTTTTCCCAGGACACAGACTTTTCAGAAGCCTGTATTCTAGAGAAACAGCAGGAAGTCCATTTAGTAGGAAGCATAAAGAAAGAAAACTGCAGCGTCATTGACAGAATAGTGAAAGACGACAGCAGCCCTGAGGAGGAGTATTTCTTTAGTCAGAGTCCAAACTTGGGTCAGTGTCACACCGTCAGCACTGGAGAGCAGCACCCTGAACTTATAGGATTGGAGAGAGCCTTCAGCTTTGACACAAAACTTATTCAGCATGAAATAATTAATTCAGGGGAAAGACCTTTTAAATGTCAAGAATTAGTGGAAACCTTCAGGTGTAACCCTCAGCATCAAGATGGCTACACTGGGGAGAAGCCCTATCAGTGTAAGGAGTGTGGCAAAGCCTTTAGCATTAATGCAAAATTAGTTTGGCATCAGAGACTTCACAGTGGGGAGAAACCCTTCAAATGTGTGGAGTGCGGGAAAAGCTTCAGTTCCAGTTCCCATTATATCACCCATCAGAGCATCCACAGCGGGGAGAAGCCCTATCAGTGTAAGGTGTGTGGCAAAGCCTTCAGCGTCAACGGGAGTCTAAGTCGGCATCAGAGAATCCATACGGGAGAGAAGCCCTATCAGTGCAAGGAGTGTGGAAGTGGCTTCAGCTGCAGTTCTGCATACATCACACACCAGAGAGTCCACACTGGAGAGAAGCCTTACGAATGCAGTGACTGTGGGAAAGCTTTCAATGTTAATGCAAAATTGATTCAACATCAGAGAATCCACACTGGAGAGAAACCTTATGAGTGTAATGAGTGTGGGAAAGGCTTCAGGTGCAGTTCCCAGCTGCGGCAGCATCAGAGCATTCACACCGGGGAGAAGCCCTATCAGTGTAAGGAGTGCGGGAAAGCCTTCAGTAATAACGCAAAACTCATCCAGCATCAAAGGATCCACACAGGTGAGAAACCCTATGAGTGTACCGAATGTGGAAAAGCCTTTAGTGTCAAAGGGAAGTTAATCCAGCACCAGAGAATCCACACAGGGGAGAAACCCTATGGGTGTAACGAATGTGGGAAAGCCTTCAGGTGTAACTCCCAGCTGCGGCAGCATCTGAGAATCCACACCGGGGAGAAGCCCTATGAATGTAATGAGTGTGGAAAGGCCTTCAACGTTAATGCAAAACTAATGCAGCATCAGAGGATTCACACTGGGGAGAAACCCTTTGAATGTAATGAGTGTGGGAAATGCTTTACTTCTAAAAGAAACCTACTTGATCATCACCGAATCCATACTGGTGAAAAGCCTTATCAGTGTAAGGAATGTGGGAAAGCCTTCAGTATCAATGCCAAACTAACCAGGCATCAGAGAATCCACACTGGGGAGAAACCTTTCAAATGTATGGAATGTGAAAAAGCATTTAGCTGTAGTTCTGACTATATTGTACATCAGAGGATCCATACTGGAGAGAAACCCTTTCAGTGTAAGGAGTGTGGAAAAGCCTTCCATGTTAATGCCCATTTAATTCGGCATCAGAGAAGCCACACTGGGGAGAAGCCCTTTAGATGTGTGGAGTGTGGCAAAGGGTTCAGCTATAGTTCTGACTGTATTATACATCAGACTGTCCATACTTGGAAGAAACCCTATGTGTGTAATGTGTGTGGGAAAGCCTTCAGGTTTAGTTTCCAACTTAGTCAGCATCAAAGTGTCCATAGTGAAGGAAAATCGTAATGAGAAGGATGTAGAAAACTCTCAAAGTTAATGAAATGGATCAGGTATCATCAGATTCAACGTGGTAGAAAACCTTGAGGGAAATGAATATGGCATCTTCCCATGGAAACACATCTTTTTCATCTTACTTTTAAAATCAGGAATGATGACTGGTTAAAAAGTAACAACCAAAAATAAATAGCTTGTCTTATACCAACAACCAATTAGAAAATATGAAAGAAAAGATCCCATTCCCAACAGCATCAAGAAAAGTGGCTCTCCTAGGAATAAACCTAAGTATTACACAGGATCTATATAGAGAAAGAAATCTCCACTGAGGGCCACAAAAGGAAAAATAAATGGGGAGAGAGAGAAACCTTGTTCTTGGATTGGAAGATTCATGTAGATATTCACTCTGCCTAAATTTACTTCCCTATTATTTTTGACACCAAGCATGCATCACTTTTGTAAAAAGGATAAACAATAAAGATTTCTGTAGAAAGAAAAGATGAGTAAATTTTTTAATTTCATGGGAGGAAAAATATATAAAAATATATAATATATAAATATATTAAATATTTATGTTCTTAAGAATCCCAAATAAAGTTAAAAGATAAAGCACAAAAAGTAGAAATACCTTTGTAAAATTTATGATATAAATGTTTAATATGTAAAGATAGGTTTTATAGTCAAGAGAAAAGTAATAAAACCCAGAAAAATGACATTAGTAGGCATTTAAAAAAATCAAAATAATAGATGTTCAGTCACAGTCCTCTAAGGATTGAAAATGAAGTATGCACACAATTGTACACAAGGAGCCCTCAACGCTCTTCCACAGACCCTCCCATAGACATACATAGTCACACACAGTGCACCCTATGTACACAGAGACTGTACACCCCCATAGACCCCCGACACCAGCTCCTGCATGTTCTGTAGCTTGAGCAACCAGTGTTGGCTAGGGGTGCTATCTGAGTATTTCAAAGGAGCCATCCCTGTTAGAAAGCTAACAAGTATAGGACCTCAGCAGAGTGTCTGGGGGATGCCACTGTGTGTAAGTTCCACTACTCTGCCCCCAGGCTCCTGGGAGCTGAGCAAGCGTGGAGGCCAGACCCTGGAGCCCCAGAACATAGGAAGGAGCACGGCCTTTCTTCCCCTTCATTATCTGACCCTGATTCTCTGCGGTGGCAAGACCAAGGCGGGGATTCTAGGAGGACAGAACCTACTGTCTGGGATCTGCTACCAGAGTCCTCTGTGACCATGGTCTCTCTGGGTCTCAGGCTCTTGTCAGTGCAGGGTGAGAGCAGGTCCCAGAACTCAAAGCTCTTCCCACCCAGATGGTCCCTGAGGGTTTTCTCCCTCTCTGTAGGTTTGTTACTGTCCAGGACAGCTGCTCTGCTCTGTCCTAAGGACAAGAGGAGGAAGAAAGTTCGACACCTGTGGAGCCTCGTGCAGTCACACGGCTCCATCAGCCAGTAGTCCTGCCATCTTGTATCCTCAGTGCTCCTTACTCCAGCCCAGGGCTGTCTGGGTCCAATGGGAGCCTTACCAGGAAAAAAGGAGCCATGGCACTGGAGACCTCTGCCCCTCGAAAAAGCTCTTCTCTTTTTCTGAACTGGAGCTGTGGGCCTGGAAGGGCCCGATTAAATAAAGCCTTTCTCCCTTAGTCCCAGTGTGTTCTGTCCCTACAGCACACCCTTCCAGCCTGGCCTGTCACACTGGAAGCGCCCTCAGAGAGCATCTGGTCCTGCCCTGTCCAGGTCAGAGGAAAACGTGGCTGTCCATGGGCACCCAGCAGGTCAGGGGACAGCCTGGGGTGAAAGGCCAAAGCTAGACAAGGCTCCAGTGTCATCTGAGGGAAGAAGAGGCCTGGCACAGCTACTCCTGGGCTGGTACCCCTCTCCTCCTGGCACTGGGGCTGGGGGTTGTGAGCAGAGGCTTCTGGACCTCTGCCTCTGAGGTCTCCACTCTCGCCACACCACAAGCCCCCGCTGTCTGCTAGCCTGTCTCTTAATAGGGAACTGAGGACACCCTTCCCCTTCCACAGGCCAGGGCCGACCAATGCTGGGGAACCGGAGATGAGGCGGACCTTGGCCTTCGCCCCGAGTCCCCAATCCACGGGCTGGGACAGCTCCCTGCGGTCCCTTCCCCCTGCTCTCAGGCCCCCGGCGCCGCACAGACCACGTGGTCCCCAGCAAATCCAACTCATCCCGGGGCTCTAGCCCTGGGTCTGAGCCCGCTCTGCTGGGCCCTGGCTCCTCTGCCTGTCGTCGGGCTGCCGGCGGCCCAAGCCTTCCTTCTGCTCCAGCTCGCCCTGCCACTGCCTCCCAGGCCCGGGTGGCTCCATAGATCCTGCAGTGTGGCCCCCACCTCCTGCCGGCCACGGAAATCCTACCCGTGCTCAGCCGAAGCCCAACCTCCAGGAAACCCCCGCACCGCTCGGCCCACTTCCTCCAGCCAGCCACGGTAAGGGGCAGTTGGGCCACCCGTTCCGCGTGTCGGCCACCCGCCTTTAGCCTGCGAGCCCTTGGCCCACGTGCTCCCAGGGTGGGGACCCGAGGCTCTGGATCCCAATCGCCCTGGGCCACTGCGCGCGGCGTATGGAGCCAGGTGACGGCCTTCTGCGGCCGCCTCATTCCCCCGCCGCCCTGGGCGCGGGCCTTCCCGCCCTGGCACTATTTTGGCCTCGGTGCGAGGAGGGGCAGGGGTGTCGGGCCTGCGCGCGTCCAGGGCCCTGCGACCTGCACTTGGGCGCGAGAAGCCATTAGCAGCCAGTGGCCGCCCACCGCGGCCCCCTGCTGCCCCAGGTGGCCGGTTCGCTCCCTGCAGGGCGCGAGACGCCCGGGGCCGCCCGCCCCCCGGGGCGGGAAGCCCGGAACCGCCACCGGGAGGCCGCGGGACGGATCCTCCCTGCCCTGATCCCGGGGGGTATCCCTGGAGCAGAGTCCTGGGGCAGCCGGGTCTGAGCCCTTGGTGGAACACTCTCCTGGGGAATCCGCCGGGGGTGGGGGGGGTGCACATGACCGAAGACGCAGGGCGGGGTCCGAAGGACCCTTAGAACGCTTAGGCCAGCGCATTGCAAACTTTCCCCCTCAACCTCCCCCCCCGGAAATCTTACAGGCGTGTATTGTAAACTGCTAAATAGAGCCGCTGTGGAAGACTGTGAGGGGGTGGGGGGCAGTTGCCATTGGGCCCGAGAGTCAAGGGCAGCGGTTTTGCTTGAGGATGCCTTGATCCAGGACGGAAATCGGAATGCATTCCACAGAATCCAAACGTTCCACGCAGGGCCACCCACGGGTGTGAGGTGGGTAGGAAGAACAAGAGATGAGGGAGATGGGCTCCATAGCCGGGCTCTCCTGGGAAAGTCACGTGGTAAAGAACCGTGAGTTGGCCTCCCCATGACAGTGGGGGAGGAGGGAGTCAGTGCAGGGACCAGGGCAACAGGGAGCAGGGGCCTAGCCATGCTTTGCCGTGTCCCTCCTGCCCAGAGGGTTCTCCCTGCCTTCACCCTGAGCTCAGCCAAACATCACATGCTCCTCGCTGGCCTCCCGGGTCTCCTTAGCCCGCACTGGGTGGCCGGTGCGGTGTCCTCCACCAGCTCTCTGAGCGCTCTTCCTGAAGCTGCGGCTTTACGGCCTACCCTGGGGACCACGAAGTCACTGGGGGGTGGGAGTGGGGGCAGCTCGTTGGGCTAGGCAGGACCTTGCTAGTTGAATAATTTCAGTTGAGCGGATACTGTTAGCGAGTCAGTAAGGGAAGAAGTGTTTGGTGCCTGTGTTTATATGGTTTATAGATCTTCATCAACAACGGATGTCCAGGTGAATTCCCCGGGGTTGGGGAGCCCTGGAATGAGCGCCCTGGCCTATGAGCGCAAACGTCTTAGAATTTGTTTGCTCTCCAGTTGCCCACCAGAGGGCGCTCCACCCCCCAAATAAAGATCTGGAGGCTGAAGTTTGAGGTCCAGCTAGGATGATTCAAGCTCTCTGGCCTCAGTGTTTGCCCACCGGGTGCTGCTGCGCACTCCCCACCCTCCGCCCCAAGCTTCCATTTGACTATAGCTGGCCAGGGTGTCTGGGGGCAGGGGCACCTGCAACTGGCTGGCTCTTCTCCTCGGGGAGCAAAGGTTAAGAATACCACCAGCTAAACTGGTGTGTGCTGGATGAAGGAGGAGGGGAAAATGCTGTGGGAACTTGCGAGGCTAATAACTCATGACATAGCTGGTTTTTTTTTCTTTATTGTGGTAAAATACTCATAACATAAAATTTACCATTTTAGCTATCTCAAAGTGTCTAATTCAGTAGCATTGGGTATGTTCATACTGTTGTGTACCCATCACCACTATCTAGTTTCAGGTCTTTTTCATCACCCCAAAAGGAACCTCCTATTAAGAAATCTCTCCCCCACCCCCAGCCCCTGGCAAGCACTAGCCTGCTCTCTGTCTATATGGGCTCGCCTATTTCTGGATATCTCATGTAAATGGAATCCGATAATATGTGGCCTTTGTGTCTGGCTTCTTTCACTTAGTGTAATGTTTTCTTTTCTTTTTTTTTTTTAAAGATTGTATTTATTTATTTGACAGAGAGAGACACAGTGAGAGAGGGAACACAAGCAGGGGGAGTGGGAGAGGGAGAAGCAGGCTTCCCGCTGAGCAGGGAGCCCGATGCGGGGCTCCATCCCAGGACCCTGGGACCATGACCTGAGCCGAAGGCAGATGCCTAACGACTGAGCCACCCAGGTGCCCCTAGTGTACTGTTTTCAAGGTTCATCCATGTTGTGGCATGAATCGATACTTCCTTCCTTTTTATTGGTGACTAATAAGTCATTGTGTGGATATATCACATTTCACTTATCCAACCATCTGTTGATGGACACTTGGGTTGTTTGCACCTTTTGGCTGTTGTGAATCATGCTGCTATGAACATTGGTGTACAAAAATCTGAGCCTGTGTTTTCAATTCTCTCAGGTATATACCTAGGAGTGGAATTGCTAGGTTATGTGGTAATTCTGTGTTTTACTTTTTGAGGAACTGCCAAACTGTTTTCCACAGGGGCTGCACCATTTCACATTCCCACCAACAGGGCCTAGGCATTCCAGTTTCTCCACATCCTCACCAACATTTATCATTTGCTGTAATTTTTTTTTTGTTGTTATATGCACCCTAGTGGGTGTGAAGTGGTATCTCATTATGGATTTGACTTATATTTCCCTGATGACTACTAATGTTGGGCATCTTTTAACTGGTGTCCAGGCTCTGGTCTTACCCCCTTCTATCCACTCAAGAGTAGGCCAAGTCCTTTCAAAACCCAAGTCTGATCCTGTCTTCCCCAGCTCAGAACCCCTCGGGGCTCCCCACCCACCCTCCCTAGACTAGAACACACATCCCTACCCTCCCTGCCCCCACAACACCCTCTCTGTGCTCCAGCCCCTAGAAATTCTCCCAGCTGTTAAAATATACGTCTCCAAACCTTTGCATCTGCTATTCTCTCTACAGAGAGAATGTAGAATATTC